CAGGGAGGGCGTGCTCAGAGAGAAGGCAAGGGCCTAGTTATAGCTACGGGAGTTAGGCCATGCCTCCACTCTGCAGAGCAAAGGTCCTGAGGGCAGGGGCTCATATCAGCCTGCGAGGGCCACAGGAACAAGGCCAGTACCTACCAAAGCCAAAGTCCATGGCAGAGCTGAGCAGAGCCTGGTTCACTGGAGTTCAGCAGAGTAACTGCCACCCAGAGAACCACATTCCCCTGCCCAGGGAAGGGCTGGTTGGACCTGGGGAGTAAGCTGGACCTGGAAGGTGAAGACGAGGCCTGGTGGTCACAGGGACAGGCACACAGCAGACCACTGCAGCCAAAACTGCCAGGAAATGAGGACTGAGATGGGAGCAGCACAGGCATGAAGGAGACAGGACTCCAAAAACAGAGGGCAACAGGCCTGACCTGCTGGAGCTGAGGGCTTGGACTGGGCAGGAAAGGTGGGGAAAGGAGGCAGGAGCAAGCAGCACATGAGACCCTTGAGCCCCCGCTGCCCAGCTAAGAGGCTGCACACAGGCTATGGAGTCAGATGGCCTGGGGCCAGATCTCGCCTTTACCTCTTCCCAGCTGTGTCATTTTAGGCACAATACTTAATTTGTCGGGGCCTCTGATTCCTTAGATAGGGATAATGATGGCACCTCCCTAATGGGGTGTCATAAGGATGGAGTTACATTATACAAGGCACTGACAACAGAGCCTTGTAAATGTTCTCCAGGATCACAATTATGTAAAGCAGTTTGAACATTAGTCTATATTTACCAAATTGTATTCCATGAAACCTTCAACTCAGAGAAACTTCCATCAAAAAAGTTTTATGTTTGAATGAACTTGGTAAAAGCCTCATATCATATCTATGTCAAGCTCTGTTAAGTCCACAGTTAAAAAAACAAAACAGAATTAAAGCCCCAAATAATCCTGTCCAACTTTATTTAACCCAGCATTTTCCAATTATAGTGGATCATGGAAGTCTCTGAATACCTTGTGGGACCGTGTTCCACAGGACATCAGTTTGGGAAGTACTATGGTGGAGGACAGTGAGGAGGGAGTCTCGGAAAATAGAGAAAGGCATCTCTAGGAGACAGCAGCTGGCAGGGAAGCCCGGAGAGAGTCCAGAGCCCAGGAGGGAAGAAGGGAGGATGCTTTGGTATGGGGCCCGCAAGAAGGGGAAAGGTGTGTGTGAGGGACTCCAAGAAGAGGAGAATGTAGAGGGCCAGGGTGCCGTTTGGATGTGGAGGAGAAACAGAAGGAGGCAGAGGTGAGCCTGGGAATTCACACTGGGGGAGATAGGAAAACGGGGTCACTGAGAGAAGTGTCCATTCCTGGCGCACTCACTCCATCACCTCTTCTCAGCTGTGGGACTTCGGGGGTCTGAGCCCTGTGGCTTCCCTGAGCAGGCGCCTGGGCAGGGGAAGATGGGGACAGATGCTTCCTGGAGAAGAACAGCTCTCAGAAGGCACAAGGACGTCTGTCCCCACTATGCACAGACCGAGTGGTTGTAAAATCGACAGCAGTTGTCCAGAGCCTCTGGGCCCAACTCTGGGCTGATGCTGAAAAGCAAGCACAGGCTATAGTGTAAACTACAGGCCCAGCTCTGTTTCTCACTGACATGTTGGGCAGTCCTGGACAGGTCACTTCCTGTCTCTGGTCTGCCCTCCCTCCTCATGTCTGGTCCTCCAGCCTCCACCTCCTCCTCCCCTGGCGATACCAGCTACAGCCATGACATTTCTACTCGTGTTCTGGTACCAAAGGCATCCCCAGGCATGCAGGCCTTCTGTGCCCCATTGCTGTTGGTGCCCCGTGGCCCCGTGGCCCCACACCTCAACCCTCACCTCTGGAAGGCCTTGTGGCAGCACTGATACACCTCGAAGCTGCTGCCACTGAGCACTGTGTTTAGGAGGGATGTGCAGTTGACCTCGGGCCCCCCGGGCACATAGAGGACTCCTGTGGAGGGAGAGTGGCTGGTGAGCAGAGCCCTGGCACCTGGCCAGGTCTGGAGACCAGCCAGAAGTCAAGGCCCCAAGTCCTGCCTACCCCCTGGCCTGCACTCACCGGCCACGCAGGCATTCACCAGGGACACACAGGCCCCAGTGAACAGCGCCCGGAGCACGATCTGGGAGAAGTCACTCTTCCGTTGCGGGGCCATGGAGGCTGCAAAGGAACAGAGGTGCTGGGAGCCAAGGAAGCCACACACCTCCTGCCTATCTACTGTGGCTCTGGCTGTCTGCTGACCTCTCTTCCTCTTCTGGGTGGCCAGGGGACAGTTGTCCTCCTGGCTGCTTGATGAATTTGGGAGCCTTTTTGGCCTGTCTGGGACCCCTGTGGTAATGTACCACACCTCCCCATTCGCCATCAATGACAGGAAAAGATACTGATTTTTGAGTCAGGCAGACCTGGGATTAAACACAGGCTTAGCCATTTACTAGCTGAGTGTCTTGGGCCATCACTTCATCTCTCCAGGACTCCATTTCCTTCTCTGTAAAATGAGATGATTATACCTCCCAGGCTGGTGGCCAGGAGGAGTGGAAATGTTCATTGTAAGGAGCTAAGAACTGTGCAGAACCTTCCTCCAGGCCCCATCATGCCTGCCTTCCTGTCCATTGAGCATGTGGGGAAAGTCAGGCCAAACCCTCAGGGGATAAGCCCACACCACACCTCCTGTCCCCAAGCATGGCCTGCCAGGTCAACCTGCTGACTTCCTGGGCATCCCCAGCCATAGAGAACCATGGGATTACAAGGCCAGGAGGAATCTCCATGGTTCCTTATTCAGGCCCTGCCTCAGACAAAGCAGACAACTGAGGCCCACAGGTCCCCAGCAAGTTCAGGCCCTCAACTCTCCTGGATGTTAGGGAGGCCCTGCAGGACTTACTCAGACCTCCCAGCATTATCCCAATGGAGCTGAAGTTGGCAAATCCGCAGAGGGCAAACGTTGTGAGCACTTCTGCTCTGACCTGAAAGCACACAAAATGGATGAGGGGGGCTGCCCTCAGTGCTCAGACAGGTGGCACACCCCCAGGCTCTCATGCAGGGCACCCCCAGGCTCTCATGCAGGGCACCCCCAGGCTCTCATGCAGGGCACTCCCAGGCTCTCTGTGTCCTGTGCTTCCCCTTCCAGGCCTTGCACTCTCTCCTGTGCCCCCATCCCTGGGCCCCTTGGTCCTAATCACCAGCCTTTCTAAGTGTCATTCAGGCTACTCAGTCCCTCACTTTGGCCCTGCTGAGTGTGAGAAGAGGACACTTGGTGTCCATCCTGGTGAGAGAAGAGGACACTTGGAGCCCAGCCACCCTGGCTTCTAGGTTTGTCCCCCAATTATCAGTTTGAGCAAGTCATTGACCTTTTAAAGTTTTACCTTCTGCATCTGAAATATGGGAATTATGATAGTTCTTGCCAGTCAGGGTTGTCATAAGGATCGTATCATGTATGGGAAACACCAGGTATAGAGCGGATGTTTAAATAAGGCAGTTCTTCCCCTTTGTTCTGAGCAGTTGTTTAATTTCCCAGAAATAAGTCTTAAGAGCCAAAATGAAACAATTTGAAAAAAAAGTTTTTTTGGTTTAGAACCATACCTCACACCATATCCAACATTAACTCTAGATCATTGAACCAGATAAATATTAATATTTTGAGCATCAAAATGATAGAAAATATAGGATAATCACTGTAGTTATAAAGTAGTGTTATTACTCTCAATTTAGAGAGAAGCAAAGTGCGTCTCAGAAAGGGTAAGGAAGTTCACACAGCAAGGTGACTGTTAGAATTTGAACTCAGTTTTGTCTGACTCCAAATTTCATGGTCTTAACTACTGCATCATATGGTCTCAGGGATTTAACACTTGCCAAATAACTTTCTAGGTTTAGAAATAATAGAAGGAATCACAACGGAAAAGGTTTGGTGTAAAATCTGTGTTATAAAACTCTTTACTTGGGTGGCGCCTGTGGCTCAAGGAGTCCGGTGCCGGCCCCATATGCTGGAGGTGGTGGGTTCAAACCCAGCCCTGGCCAAAAACTGAAAAAAAAAAATTCTCACTTTTGAACATGTGCTAAAATTGGAACAATACAGAGAAGATTAGAATGGCCCCTGTATAAGGATGATATGCAAATTTGTGAAGATTCCATATTTAAAAACAAAAAAAGATCCCTGTACACTAAACGAAGGGGGAAAGAAAAGACTAGAAAAATGTGTAAAAAAAGAAAAATAACAGAAAAAGATTGACATCTTTATAACATAGTTTATACAAAAATTATTGGAAAAATTAAAGCACCTGTATCTCAGTTTCTTCACCTACACTTGTGCTCCCTATAGCAGACTGAGTTATCTTAAAATGCAAAATATCAAGTCTTAAGTGCTTCCTCTGCACCACTCTCACAACCCCTCCCCTGGCTGCACATCTCTGCTCGGTGTTCTACACAACTGCATGACGTTCAGCCTCAGGCCTCTTCCTTGGCTGGAACCTTCTTCCCAGCTTCTCCTGGCTGCCCCTTCTTCTCTCTCCAGATCTTAGCCTAAAGGCCACACTGCACGGAGACCTTTTGGACAGGTTCAGCCAAGGAAGTCTCTTCTCTGCTTTCTTGTGCTTTTCTTCATAGAACTTACTACAAATTGTGTTTGTTTGTTTGTTTGTTTGTTCCTTCTCTTTCTTGTGTTTTTGTCTGTGTCTTTTATAAGATATAAGTTCCATGAGACCAGAGACCATGTCTGTCTAATTGCTCTCTTTCTTCCTTCCTCCCTTCCTTCCTTTCCTCCTCTCCTCTCCTCTCCTCTCCTCTCCTCTCCTCTCTTCCCTCTCCTTTTCTCTCCTCTCCTCGCCTCTCATTTTGTAAAGACAGCTTGTTGCCCAGGCTAGAGTGCAATGGCTTCATCACAGCTCACTGCAGCCTTGAACTCCTGGACTCAAGTGATGCTCCCTCTTCACGCTCCCAAAGTGCTTAGATTACAGACCTGAGCCACTGTCCCTGGCCTAATCCCTTTTTATCCCTAGTGCCTAAGAGAGTGTCTAGCACCTAAGTATTCTCAACAAACATGTATGTGCTGAAGGAGTGAAGATTCTAAAAACAACCCTGAAGAGATGCGCCTGAAGAAGGGGGTGAGACTGCCTCTGAAGAAGGGGGTGAGACCAGAGCTGAGGGGCAAGAGTAAGAACAAACTTGTGTATTTTACTTCACACAGTCTATTTTTTTAAACTAAAGAGTACATTTCTTTGCCATTTAAAAAATAATCCAAAAATCAAGAAAAAATATTTCCTGCTAACAGTTTCCAGTCACCAAAGTAATTCAAATTATTATAAAACAATGAGCTATTTTATTTGCTCATTAAAGTAGTAAGACTTGTTTTTAAAAAGAAGCTATTTGATCCTGTTTAGTTTGTGGTGAAATAAATGCTCACAGGCACAGCTGATGCCTGGGATTTTCAACTGCCGAAACCCTTTGGGGAAGTTACTGGCAGCCGCCACGCTGTGAGTCAGTCAGCCCACATCTGGGGACACTCCTGAGGGGAAGACTCAAGAAAAGGGAAAAGTTCTACACACAAAGATATTCAACACTGTGGGTAATAGTCACGTAATGTTAATAATCTGAATGGGCCAACAGCAGAGGGGTTGGTTAAATACATCAGGATACGTGTATCAGAAATGATGCATAATTGTAAGTAGAAAAAAGCTGGTTACAGCATACCATGGATGATATAACAGCAATGATGTAAACACTCTCTTAAAGAGAATGGAGGAAAACGTATAAAATAATATAGTTGTTATTTTAGGATGTGAGATTACAGGTAAGGTTTTCATTCTCAATAATGTGACTAGAGCTTGCATTCTTTCAGAAAGGTTAATCTTATAGAGGTTCTATGGTTTTTAAATTAAAAATAAATTTTAGCCAGGCATGGTGGCTCACACCTGTAAACCTAGCACTCTGGGAGGCTGAGACAGGTAGATTGCCTGAGCAAGAGCAAGACCCTGTCTCTACCAAAAATAAAAAAATTGGCTCGGTGCCTATAGCATAGTGGTTACAGCACCAGTCATATGCACCAAAGGTGGCAGGTTCGAACCTGGCCCAGGCCAGCTAAACAAGAATGACAAAAAATAGTTGGGCTTTGTGGTGGGTGCCTGTAGTCCCAGATACTTGGGAGGCTGAGGCAAGAGTATCGCTTAAGCCTTGGAGGTAGCGGTGAGCTGTGATGCCACAGCACTCTTCTGAGGGTGACACAGTGAGACTCTGTCTCAAAAAAAAAAAAGAAAAAGAAAAATTAACTGGGCGCATTGGCAGGTGCCTGTAGTTCCAGCTGCGTAGGAGGCTGAGGCAAGAGAAGCATCTGAGCCCTAGAGTTTGAGGTTGCTGTGAGCTGTGACAGCAGAGCACTCTAGGCTGGGAACAGAGTGAGACTACCTCAAAAAAAAATTTCTTTTTGATGAAAAGAGTCAACCCCTATGCTGAATGTGGTACATTAACAGTGAGGTGATGGTGAGTCCTCCTACCTCACTCCCCTCCTGGCTCGCTGGATGTTCTCTGGGGTGGCAGGTGTTGCACCTGTTTTCCAACTGAAGAGGCAAGGTGCAGGGGCTGCCCAAGGCCTCAGCAGAAGGCAGCCCATCTAGAGCTAGATCTCAGCTGTCTCACATAGCGCTCTTTCTTTATTCTTACACTCAGCTTCCTAAGAGGCCTCAAGGAAGATGGCAGCAAAGCCTAAAGCCATCCTGTTTCTCAGGAGCACAGGATATGGGAGGTCAAGGCCACTTCAGTGTGTGTCAGCCAGGCCCAGAGAGCTGGGCTACAGGGAGGGGGCTGAGGTACTCACAGAGATCCACTGCTTCCTGGTGCCGGCCCACTCCTCAGCCCCTGCCAGGCGGCGCTGCTTGTACTTGGAGAGTTCCTGATAGGCCACAAACTCATTCAGAAATAGCTTGGTCCCCAGCAGCTCAGCCACCACTGGGCAGTCCTCCCAGGCCACACCCATCAAGAAGGCCACTGGCCGCAGGATGTAGGAGCAGATGAGCTGAGTGTGCAAGGGCAAGAGACATGGCTAGGACCTGAGCTGGGCCAGGCCATAGCTCCCTGTCTGCTTGGGGCCATCTGCCACAGGCTGGCTGGTACCACACCTGGAAGCTGAGCTCCTGGACATCCACCATTTCTCCTAGCCAGGACAGGGCAGCATTGATGAAGGCCAGCACAGCTAGGAATGCGATCAGGTTCGCAGCAATGTTGGTGACCACTCGCACTGAAATGCTGGCCCCACTGCTGACTGCTTCTATGAGGTTCTGAGCGTCTCTGTTGTAGGGAGCAAAAACAGTCATTACTGGCCTGTCCCCACAAACAGCAAGGGTCCCCATCCTGCAGGCTCAAAAACACTCTGTGGGACAGACAGAGTGTTATCAGAGCTAGAGAACTCTTAAACAAGAGTTTGCTGAGATCCAAAGAGAAGAAGGGGCTGGTCCTAAGACCCAGGTTCTAGCACAGTGCTGTCCAAGACAGAAGCCATCAGCCACATGTGGCTTTTGACCCCCTGAAGGGAGTCTGGTTCAAATCGAGTTCTGCTATAAGTGCAAAACACACACCATATTTGAGGGATTTAGTACAAAAAATGAAAAAAATTCAATGACTTTCATATTGACTGAAATATAAAAATGTTTTATGTTGAAATGACAGTATTGCTGCTGTATTGGCTTAAGTAAAATATCTTATTGAAAGTCTCCCATTTCTTTGCATTTTTTAAAAGATACCTACTAGAAAATTGAAGATGACAGATATGACTCATGTCGCATGTCCAGGGCATAACACTGCTCTGGAGCTGCAGAAGATATGAAGCTGGGGGTGCCCTCTGGGTCCCCAAGCACGTTTGTCCAAAGGGTGCATTTTCAACGTTTTAAGGATTAAATGTGATGCCAACAGTGGTTAAGACTGCGATGAAGAGAGGTTAGGAGGTGAGTGAAATCAACGACAGCACTTGTGATGACAGTACGTGGTTGACAGCCTGGTGCCCAGGGCTCAGACTCATGGGGGAGTGGCAGGGAGCCTTCTATGACTTGTGACACACAGGCAAACACCCCAGGCCACACCCCTGAGCCTTGATCAGTCTATTGTTTCCTGCTGGTCAGAGAACAGAAATTAAGATGTGAGAACTAGAGTCTGCATTTTTGCAAGCACTGTGATTAGAATGTTTACTCCCTCTCATGTTAAAACTTAATCCCCCAAGTGGCAGCATTGAAAGGTGGGGCCTGTGAGAGGTGCCTGGATCATGAGGGCTGACATTAATTTTGGATTAGTGGATTAATGTGTTATCCTGAGAAGAGGACTGGCGGCTTCATACAGGAGGGAGGGTGACCTGAGGTAGTGTGCAGCACACTGAGTCCCCTTGCTGTGTGCCACCCTACACCATGTCAGGACTCTGCAGAGAGTTCCTGATAGCAAGAAGGTTCTCACCACATGCAGCCCCTCGACTTTGGACTCCTCAGCTTTCATAAATAAGAAATAAATTTCCCTTTTTCACAAATTTCCCAGGTTCAGGTATTCTGTTATAAGCAGTGACAGGGGAGAGGTGGGCCTGAGCTGGTGAAGATGGTGACGGCATAGAGAACGGGACCCCCACCTCGCTCCCCCCACCCTGCCCACTGTCCCCTGTAGGCCTCCTGCTGTGCTCACCCATAGGTCAGTTTCACGCCTTCCTCACTTTTGAACTTGGACTCCTCCACCTCTGGGTAAATCAGCTTGGAGAGGGCCAAAGCACAGGGGGCGGCCATCACAGAAGCAGCAATCAACGAGGAGGCGTCAATCTGTGAGGGCGAGTCAGTGTGACAGGCTGGCACAGAAACATTGAGGGCCAAGGATCAAAGCCTCGGCAGCAGGGGACAGGTGTAGTGTGTTCCCAAGTTGTATCCTCATCATCGTCATCACTGCCATTGGCATTCCCAGCAGTGATACACCTTGTGCGTTAAGGGCCACAGGCTGCACACAGGACTCATATTAGGCAGGCGAGGACTGCTGTCCCCACTTCACAAACAAGGAGACTGAGGCTCTAGGGGGTTAAATATGACTTGCCCAAAATAAAAGATGAGAAGGAATTAGAACCCATCACATCTTTGGACTCCAACTTCAAAGTTCTTCCTTTCTATTCAGGCTGTCTCTCTTTGAGCACTAATCCCCATTAGCTGAGGGCTTTGCTATGGTTCCCAACAAAACTCGGAACCTGATGGCTGAAGTGGATTTAAGAGGTAACCCAATTCAACCTCACATAGCTCATGTACTAGTATGGGAATGCAGTCCCTCTAGAAAACTGTTTTTCACCTTTTTTTAATCCCATGGCACATTTGAACCTATAGTTATTTTTCCACAGCACATTTAAATTAGGTTGGTCCAAAAAAAGAGGGGGAAAAAAAGCAATATACTCACTGTGCTTTGAACTCCTTTGAAAATAATTTAATTAATGGTCTAAAAATTTTCACAGCACACTGATTGAAAATCACTGGTCTATACTATAGAGTATAGGCCCTGTCCTTGAATGCTTACTGTGGTGGGGAACTCACCACCACCGGGCAGCCCATCACACTACTCACCCCTACAGTTAGGGAACTCTCTCAGGACGCCTGCTGCCTACAACAGCCATGCCCTGGCCCTAGGTCTGCCTCTTGGACCCATCCTGTAAAAGCCACTCCCAGCAGGATGTGGAACAGCAACCCTGGGATTCTCCCTTCCCATTGACAGATGCAACACTTTATTCTTTCCCACCATTGTGTCATTTACTGAACGGGGAAATGAGAACCAGCTCAAACATCTAACACCTGGAGAGTGGCTGAACTCTGTAAGGCTGGCCCTGAAAATGATGGAGCTGGAGCCTTACAAGGACGTGGGGAAGTGCCCACGAAATTGCATGCGGAGAGCCACCAAAACTATGGGGGAGAAAACAGACTTCAAAATTACACACAGAAAGAAGATCAGAAAGAAATGCACCCGGACGCCAACAAATTAGCTGTGCCTGGCTAGTGGGGCCAAGGGTGATTTTCTTTTTCTTTTCTTTCTGCTTTTTGGTATTTTTCAACATATTCCATATATAATTTTTATAAAAGAAACAGAGTTTTTCTCCTTAAAGCTTACCATATGCCAATCACATTGTCAAATTTTAAAGAAGGCAGGTAAGTTGAAGTGGACAGTCAAAAGCAAAGGGCAGAAGCCCAGAAAGATACCCCATTATCATCTCAGGGAAGCACCAGGGCCAGCTGATGAAAAACCAGGTTAGAAACCCTCTAAGGCTCCCAAACCCATGGAATGGTCTTCTTGTTCTAACCCCCAGTTGTTCTTTCCAATGATAAATAGATATTCCTTAAAATATGGAGGACAACTGGCTACAATTTGATACTCCCCCCATCCCTGCCACAGATGCTGGGTGTGCAGGCTCAGGTCTTGCCCCTTGCTAGAAGAAACCCAGCTGGGGGCAAGTGTCCTCTCTGGACTTTCTTGGCTGGGTTTTGGGACGTCCCCTCCTCCCTGCTCAGTTGCCTAGTTCCAGTGGGAACAGTGCCACATCTAGAATCTTGGGGGTTATCCCTCTACCACAGGACTCTGCCCCTTCCTCCAGCATATAGATTACATGCCATTTGTAAACTTGAGTCCCAGAGGGCACAGACTCTGTAGTTGTCACATTCCTGGACACTGTCCACTGACTGGGTCAGTTGTGGTCTCAGCCTCAAATGCCGCAGCCAGAGGCTTCCTGCTCACTGTTGAAAGGGCTAAGTTCTGCACAGGTGGGTACCTGGGTGCCGACACCCAGCCTCCCTCACTCTGGCTGTTCTGCAGGCCCATGATGTCCCCTGGCCCTGCCTCTTAGGCACCTAGTCAGAAACACTTTCCACCATAGCATCCCAGGCCCAGTCTTGCCACAGCCTTCCTCTCCCTGACCCAGAGGTGTCCAATGTGGAGAGGGATAGGAAGAGCCCTCCACTTGAATTTTCAAAAGGCTCTTTACAGAGAAGGGAGTAAACAGAGATGATAACACACATGACGTGAGCTCATTTCAGAAGGAAGGACAGATTTCTGACCCCAATATATAAGAAAAAGAACTTTCACTCCTTGACACCTTGCTAATCAATTCTGCATATGATTGCGTCTAATTCTCACCCTGCTATGCGGTGGGCAGCACTCTGCCTGTTGTACAGCTGCGGATGCTAAGATGTTCATGTGGACCTGCCCAGGCTCTCACAGACCCTGTGCACAATTCACAGAGAAACTTGGGTGGCCAAGTCCTCAGCCTCACTCTGCACAGTCTGAGAGTCTCCTCTCCTGGGGCCACTGAGCTAGAGCAAAGAGATCAGTTTCTGGGGGCTACTGAGGAGAGCTCTTGCTTACTTTAATGCAGGCGTCCTCAAACTACAGCCCACGGGCCACATGCAGCCCACCTAGGACATTTATCTGGCCTGCCGGGTGTTTTTGCCACTGCTGCCTGTCCTGCTTAGCAGCTGACTCATCCCAGGGCCCGCAGTCTGGCCCTCCCACAGTCTGAGGGACAGTGAACTGGCCCCCTGTTTAAAAAGTTTGAAGACCCCTGCTTTAGTGCCTTTGGGAAAGACAGCCTGGGTGAAGCTGTGCATGGAAGTCACAATAAAAGGATTTATTGGGGCCATGGGCCTGGGTGGCTTAGACCAGCCCTGTCCACACAAATATGGGAACTGTATCCATAACTGAAAATTTTCTAGTAGCTACATTTTAAAAAAGAAAAAGAAACAGGTGACATTATTTATTTACTTAATTTTTTGAGACAGAGTCTTGCTTTATCACCCAGTCTAGAGTGCTGTGGTGTCATCATAGCTCACTATAACCTTGAACTCCTGGGCTTAAGTGATTCTCCTGCCTCAACCTCCTGAGTGCTGGACTACAGGCACCTGCCATTATACCCAGCTAATCTTTGTATTTTTTGTAGAGACAGGGTCCCCTGGTCTCAATCTCCTGGTTTCAGGTGATCCTCCCATTTCGGCCTCCCAAAGCAGTAGGATTATAGGCCTGAGTCACTGTGCCTAGCCTATTAATTTTAATAAGGTGTTGTTTATTCCAATATATCTCAAATATGTAGTTTCTCTCTGCTTATATAATCAATACAAATTATTAATAACATTTAATTTTTTTCTGTACTAAGTCTCAACAGCATTTCACATCTCAAGTACTCAATAGCCACCTGTGGTTAGTGGCCCCTGTGTTGGACCACACAGATCTGAAAATATCTACCTATTAGCAATAGGAGGGGCACAAGGCAAAGAGAGCCAGAAGATAAACAGAAAAGTGAAAGGTCTTTCTTTTTTTCTTTCTTTTTTTTTTGGGGGGGGGGGAACAGTCTCATTCTGTCATCCTGGGTAGAGTGCTGTGGCATTACAGCTCACAGCAACCTCAAACTCTTGGGCTCAAGTGAGCCTCTTGCCTCAGCCTCCCAAGTAGCTAGGACTACAGGCACTGGCCATGGTGCCTGGCTAGTTTTTCTGTTTTTAGTAGAGACACATCTTGCTCTTGCTCAGGCTGGCCTCAAACTCCTGAGTTCAGGTGATCCAGAGTGCTGGGATTATAGGGGGTGAGCCACTGTGCCTGGCCTAAAGTGAAAGTTCTTAAAAATAGGGGAGCTTGGAGGAGAGAGCCTCTTATGGAGTTCTGGGCTGAGGAGTTGGGGAGCATGGCACCCAGTCCAAGGAGAGAGGGGAGAGGATGGGAAGGCAGGGCAGTGTAGTGGCAAACAAGAACCAGGAGGGGGCAGAAGAGAGTTTCCCTAGAGATTAGACAAGGGTAGATCCCCAGGCAGGAGGAAAGGGGTTGGGGGGAGTGAGGAAAGGGGAAAGTGGAAAAGGAGGAAAGTGGGGAAGAGGGGAAGGGAGGCCTGTTCCATGCTCTCCCTTGGGCCAGCTATACTTGTAGCCCACCGCTGGCTTCTAAACCACAGGCTATGACTGGAGGCCCGTGGCACACAACTGACCCTGGCTACCTCTGCACATTCTGTACAGCTAAAAGAAAGTAGACACCCGGCAGTGAGGAGGCCAGATTGCCCAGGGCTGGCCCTGAACTCTGGCCTGAGAAAGGGAAGAAAGGAGGGCTGAATTTTAAGCCAGACTGTAGAAAGGGCGAGTGTTTCTTCTGTATTTAAGTCTTGGCTAGAAGTCCCAGCAATGCTTTTGCACTAACTGTGGGGACCAAAGCAAGGTTGAGACATTTAAAGGCCCTAAGTCCTGAAAATATTATGGCATCCCCTTCCCCAATATTCTACCATGAAAAAAGTTTCAGGAACAAGGTTTTGGGTTACCAATATTGAAATATCAAATTCCTTCCAAAAACAATTGGCAGTGGGTAGGTGGGGGCTCCAGTGAGCCCTTCCTAGACTCCAGCAAGACAAGGTGCAAACCAGATGACAGTCTCTAGGATGCTAGGACAGAAATTCCCAACATGCAAGGGTCCTTTCTTGAAAAGTCTTACAGCCACCAGCTCTGCCCAGGCAGCTCTGTGGGGATGTGGAGCTGTGACAGGGGTAGCCCAGGTGCCCTCAGTGAAGGAGATACTGAGGGGCAGGCTATCCTGTCCTCTTATCCTCCCCTTTGGCCACACCCAGGGACAGAGATGAGATAGACAGGTGGAATTCAGGACAGTGTAGGTCATTCCATGGTTTCACCATCCATACATTCACAGCATCAGGGGAGCTTCGGGGGAGGGGGCAGGCACAGGCTGGTCAGGGTTAGTCTCCAAATCAGGCCCACTGCACTCCAGGGCTAAATGGCATCACTGTTTATGGAGTAACCTACCAGCTCATGTCCAATCTGCTGGACACACAGGATTTTCTTTTTATTTTTTTTAAACAGAGTCTCACTATGTCATTCTTGGTAGAGTGCCGTGACATCACAGCTCACAGCAATCTCAAACTCTTGAGCTTAAGCAGTCCTCTTGTCTCAGCCTCCCAAGTAGCTGGGACTAAAGGCCCCTGCCACAACGCCAGCTATTTTTTTGTTGCAGTTGTCGTTGTTGTTTAGCTGGCCCAGGATGAATTTGAGACCACCAGGTTCCGTTTAGGTGGACAGCGCCCTACCCACTGAGCTATGGGTGCCGCCTAGGCTTTTCTTTTTATATTGTTGCAAATAATGTTGCAATTTCACATTGTTTGAACACTTGTGAGAACATTTCAGAAAAAAAAAAGAGAGAGAGAGAGAACATTTCTATGTCATAATATCCTAACTGGATCAAAGGAAAGGAATATTTTTAAATTAATTGATATATGTATAAAAAATAAAATGTAATTTAAAAATTAAAAAAAAAATGACTGTAGATGTTCTCCACAAAGGTTATTGCAAATTAAACTCCCACCATGGTAGAGGAGTTCCCCACACCCTTGCCATTTATAGGCACATAAAGTGTTGCATATAATTTAAAAGAGATGTAAGTTATCATTGTTTTAATTTCTTTGAACATCAGTGACCTTGAGTATGTTTTGATAATTTATAAACTATTTTCTCCTGATCAATAATTTTTTTAAATAGTGACTTTCACGCACAGGAGGTTTTTCATATTTATCAGTCAGCTCTGTCCACTTTTTCTTTTATCTGCCTGGATTTTGTGTTATAACCAGAATGTTATAAGACATAAAGCAAGTTGTAGAAAAGAATGGGTAGAATTACTTCATCTTTTATAAAATAGAGAAAGCAGGTATGTATGTGTGTTGTGGTCTATAAATTCAAATTACTATTTACACAGAAAGATCTGGAATGACATATTTTTAAGTCAGCAGGTCTCAAATTGAGTGAAAACATGCTGGGCCAACCCTGTGTTTCTGATTCTGGGGTGGACTAAGAACTTCTAGCAAGTTCTCAGGAGATGCCAATGGTGCTGGTCCACAGACCACACTTTGAGAATCACAGTTCTTGAAAGCAGTTATCCATGGGAAGTGAAGTAAAGAAAGGAAGATTTTTAACTCTGCCATTTTTGCAAAAACTGAGACTTTCTTTGACAGTTAAGAACAAAAAAAACCAAACCCCAAGATCTCTGAAGATTGCGTCTGGAAGCACAAAGAAGTATAAGGGATGTGGGTGTCAGCGAGCTCCCCTCTGTCACCGTGCAAGAGGTTTGTGATGGGTGTCAGGGTCCCATCCACACGAGTGGGGTCTAACATGGAGTGCTCAGTAGCTGTGCAAGCAATGATTGAGGAACAGAGGAAGGACTTGAGGTCAGAGAGAGTGAGGGAGGGAGAGGAAGTTGCAGGGCGGCGCTCCAGGGACAGCCTGGGTGTGGGACTAGGGGAAAATGAACATGAATTTTGAGGTCACAGATTTGGACCCAGATCCTGGCATGGAATTTCTCCCTTACTCTCTGAGTCTCAGTTTCCTCATCTGCAAAATGGGGATGTTAACACAACCAGCACATTGCCTGGTACACAGCAGGCACTCAGTAAGTGGAATACTGGGAGTCTTTGCTCCCAGCGGCCACCTGAGGAGCCACCAGGCCTGCTGCACTCAGGGGCAGCCTCTGTTCTCACCAGTGCAGCAGGGGCTTCAGGCTGGAGAGATCCCAGGGCTGCTCCTGCAGGAGCTGTGTGGGGGCTCCCGCAAATGTGGGGTTCAGGCTCTGGGCATTGCCAAGCAAGAGGAGGGCTCTACCTACCCCAAAGGAGATATAGGCACCCAGCAGGCTGCCGGCAATGGTGGCGTAGCCTCCAGTCATGACCACGTGGACTTCAGAGAGTGTCATGTCTGCTAAGTAGGGCCGGATTAGCAGAGGAGCCTCTGTCTGCAAAGAGGAAAGATATCAGACACAGATCTGCAGTGGCTGGGCACCACTCCACTGGTCCTGTCCCAGGCATGGATAGGTTAGAGCGACACTGTGCTGACTGCCCACCATGTGCCAGGTGCCCCACCAAGCACCTCGCCAACATTACTCATGACCTGAGAGAGAAGGAGCCCCATTTTCCAGGAGAACAAACAGAGGCTCAGGGAAGATCAAAGAATTAACCCTGCCCATGTGCAGGTGGGAAGCAGGTGGCAGGCATAAGCTTTAATGAAGCCCGGGAAGGGGCCAGAAGGAAAGTCGTTACAGGTGTGTTTACTTCAGGGCACTAGGGCAGCCCAGGGCCTTCCTTATTCATTGAATAAATAGTTGTTGAGCACCTACTATCCCGCGGTTCTCAACTTGTGTGTCACGACCCACAGAAACTGTATTAAAGGGCTGCGGCACTAGGAAGGTTGAGAAACACTGCTCTAGGCACTGCTCCACAGGGCAGGAGCTTTCTCTCGCTTAGGGCGTCCCTCTTCTGTGGAACAGTGCCAGGGAGGATGCCTATAATCCCAGCACTTTGAGAGGCCAAGGTAGGAGGATCACTTAAGGCCAGTTCAACATTGGACTGGGCAACAGAGCAAGACTCCATCTCTACAAAAAATAAAAAGAAAAAATGATCTGAGTGTGGTGATGCCTGTGCATAGTCCCAGCTACTTGGAAGGCTGAGATAAGATCTCTTAAGCCCCAGTTTAAGGCTGCCATGAGGTATGATCATGCCACTGAACTCCAACCTGGGTCACAGAGTGTGATCTGACCTCTAAAAAAAAATTTTTTTTTATTTAAAAAAGATGCAAATATTCTCCAAAGTTTCCTAAACTTGCCATATCCAATGACATATGGCATATTTTGGCAAGTGTGACTTTTGGTGACTCACATGTTAGGCAGATGGGCCAGGACAGACCCTGGAAGCTTGGCCTCAGAAGGATTAGGCCTTGTGAAAATGACTCAGGACTGACAGTGTCTTCAGAGTCACATTTACTTTAGAAAATACATTTTCAGAAAGAGTGAGAAAAGAAAAGACAAAATGATGTAGCAGAAAAACTCTTCCAGGAAAGAGAAAACTGGGATTCTAAGCCATGGCTTATATTTGTGTCATCTTGGCCAAGTTATTCCCATCTCAAAGCCTCAGTTTCCTCATGTATAAAATGAGACATTGGACTCCATCTGTAGGATTTGTGAGTCTCTAAGCTGATGAGGACAGGTAGAATGGTAGGAGGTGCCAGACAGATGGCATCCTCCCTGGCATGAATCACCTATGGGGCAGCACCCTTTGGTGACCCTGGGAAAAGGCTCAAACTGCTTTTTCCCTAACTGAATTAGAGCTCTGGGGACCCAGGGAACCCACCCTCTTTGGGGCAGCTGCCTATGAGCATAAGGGCAGGAGGCTGTGGTACCCACCTGGCTCACAAAGATGTTTCCGGCCACACTTAGGGTCTCCGTGGCTGTGGTGCCCATGGTGACCTGCAGCATCCAGGCAATCTAGAAGGAAGAGGGTGCTCTTTGGGGACTGATATCAGCAGACCACTGAGTCGGAGAGAGCTGGGTGGAAATGCTTTACACATCTTCCTTCCAACTCTCAGCCCAGTGTGAGACCCCCCTCACCTATATTTTCCCCATTCTCTCCTTCCACACCTCCACTGAAGGGATGCCACTTCCCAGGCCACCTGTTCCACCTCAGCATAGCCTAGTCATCAGCACAGAGCTTCTAAAAGTGTGTTCTTAGGCTGGGCATGGTGGCTCACACCTGTAATCCTAGCACTCTGGGAGGCTGAGGCACTGGATTGCTTGAGCTCAGGAGTTCAAGACCAGCCTGAGCAAGAGTGAGACCCCATCTTTAAAAATAGCCGGGTATTGGGCGGCGCCTGTGGCTCAGTGGGTAAGGCGTCGGCCACATCTACCAAGGGTGGCAGGTTCGAACTTGGCCCTGGCCAAACTGCAACAAAAAGTAGCCAGGTGTTGTGGCAGGTGCCTATAGTCCCAGCTACTTGGGAGGCTGAGGCAAGAGAATTGCCGAAGCCTGAGAGTTGGCGGTTGCTGTGAGCTGTGACACCATAGCATTCTACAGAGGGTGACAAAGTGAGACTCTGCCTCTTAAAAAAAAAAAAAATAGCCGGGTATCGTGGTCATTGACTATAGTCCCAGCTACTTGGGAGGCTGAGGCAAGAGAATTGCTTAAACCCAAGAGTTTGAGGTTGCTGTGAGCTATGCTGGCATGGCACTCTACCGAAGGTGACAAAGTGAGACTTTGTTTCAAAAAAAAAAAATAGTGTATTGTCCATCTCTATGCAAAAAGGGTTCCCTGGCCAAATATATTTGAAAATTGAAAACTGCCACACACACACACACACACACACACACACACACCCCATGAAAACTGCCACACACACACACACACACGCACACACACCCCAAGATGAAATTTGCTTCTCCAGAATTTCTCTCCAATGGCTCAGGCTGCCCTTTCCTAAACTCTCTTCTGTAAGAATTTAGAATCGTTATCCTACCCCTAATTTCCTCCTTTCCTGGCCTATTCTTCCTTTTATTCTTTCAGCCCTTCAGCTGTTCTGTGGAGGATATGGCTTTAAGCTCTTTCACTCTCCGGCTCATAGTTCAATTGACATAGCCTATTGAATACATTCTCCACATCTGGATCACCTCCCTCACACTATGCAGTATTTTTTTTTTTTTTTTTTTTTTACACAGAGTCTCACTCTGTCATCCTGGGTAGAGTGCTGTGGCATCAGCCTAGCTCACAGCAAGTTTAAACTCTTGGGCTCAAGTGAATCTCCTGACTCAGCCCTCCTGAATAGCTGGGACTACAGAGTCCCACCACAGACAAAACTCAAAGAGCCATCCTTCCTTCTCTGCTTCTCTCATGCCATGGATCCAGTGAGTCCCACAGTGCCGCCTCCAGGTTGCAGCCACATCACAGCCACGGTGCTGCCCTCCTCCTCCAGTCCACCTCTCACTTGGACTCTGCAACCACTTCCTCCCTCTCCTCCCTGCTTACATCCCTGCCACTACTGTCTGTCCTGACCCTTCAAAAGCACAAAGCAGATCATGCCACCTCCCCACCAGGGCAAGTCCAGCTCCTCTGTGGCCCAGCTAATTTTTCTATTTTTAGTAGAAATGGGGTCTTGTTCTTGCTCAGGCTGGTCTAGAACTCCTGAGCTCAAACAATCCACCTGCCTCAGCCTCCCAGAGTGCTAGGATTACAGGTGTGAGCCACCGCACCCAGCTGCATTGTGTCTTCTTACCATAATTACTATGGTTTGAATGTCCCTGCCAAAATTCGTGTTGAAATTTGATTGCTATTGTAACAGTGTTGGGAGGTATGCTCTTTGGGCGTGATTAGGTTATGAGGGTTCTGCCCTTGTGAGTGGATTAATGCCATTATTGTAAGAGTATGTTGGTTATCAGGGAAGTGGAGTAGACTTCTGAAAAATAAAGGATAAGTTGAGCTCTCATTCTCTTATGTGCTCACTTTTGTCTTCTGCCCTTCTGCCATGTTATGATGAGCAAGAAGGCCCTCAAGATGTCAGCACCATGCTCTTGGCCTTCACAGTCCAGAACCAGGAGCCCAATAAATCTTGTATTCTTTTATAAATTCCCCCATTTGTAGTATTCTGTTATAGCAACAGAAAATGAACTAAGACAATAACTACAAGTTGATTTGGCATTTCTGGTGCCATCAGATGCTGGTGATTTATTCTGACCTCTGTTGGCTGAAACCTCAAAATCTTTCCTCAGGTGGAATGCCATCCAATGCTGCATTATACATCCTGGTTTTGCACAGCAGCAGATTTTATGAACATAAGCACAGGGTTTGACATTTATGCCAGCTAAGTCTGGTCGGTGTGGCCCACTACTACCATCTCTCAAGATCTTTTTGGTATAAATTACTTTTTCTCTTACACTTTCTCAGTGGAGCCTCAAGACTGTGACCTTTCCTCCTATAAGGTCACACTGGATTTTGGTGCCATTTCTCCGTAGTATCATGCAAGAAATGCTGTGAGAGGTGTTTGGTCAGCAGTAGACTCTGGGAAGGTGTGGACTTTGAGAGCAGGGGATTCTGGAAAGATATGGCCCTTGATAGCAAGGGATTTCCAAAGGTACAGAACCTAAAATCAGGGGATTCTGGGAGCATGTTTGTTTTGGGAGCAGGGGATTCTGGGAGGATGTTGGCTTTGGAAGCAGGGGATTTGGGGGAGGGATTAGCCTTTGGGAATAGAAGATTATGGGAGAGTATGAACCCTGTGAGCTGGTGTCTCTGGGAGAGCCTGGGTCACTGACATTGTGAACTCACCTTCAAGATCACCCACTGCATGAGGCCCAAATAGTAGAGAACTGACATTACACAGCTGAAGAAGACAATGATGGGCAAAACCTAGTGGGAAAGAGAATGTAGGACCCCAGGTTAGAGGCAGGCAGGGCCCAGAAGACCCCAGACAGCCCCCTCCACCCAAGGCCTGACAGGACCAGCGAAGCAGCTCTGAATTCAGTGCATGACGTCCTAGGTATTCCATGTGGGGGCCTCTGTGGAGGCACTTCTGCCCTCTGTTCCCCTCTAGATGATGACCCATTCACCGGTTGCTGCTCCTCTCTCCTCCTGCAGATGGTCCTGCACTGTGGCAGAAGTGGGGCCTGAGAATACTCCTCCCACCTCTGCTTCTCTTTCTCTAAAATGGGCTGTTGTGAGGATCGCAGTGTCTGCCCTTCTTGATGAGTTCAAGAGCTGACCTTGGCCTCCGGTTTTAACCTCTGTCCTGTGGTTTGAGCCTGAGTGAAGGGACACGCGACCTTCTTATGATCTACTTCCACTTGTGCCAGCAGGCTCAGAGTCAGACTCTTCTAAACCTGTAGCCAGCCTCTCCTCCTGTCGCCCTGGCACTTATTACCACTGCTCTTTGTTCACTTCAAGATTCATTAAGATTTTCTCTCACATTGATTCCCTCCTTTCCAGGCCCAAAGCCCCACCCTAGTGCTTTTTTTTTTCACCTGCAGTCTAATTTTAATAACAAGCTGTTAAAAACTGAAATATCTTTTAGTGGAAGACTAGTTTAATAGACTAGTGTATACCCATACAATGGTGCACTAAAGTCAGGAAACGGTAATGGAGGAGCTCTCTATGGGCATTTGTGGAATGATTTCTGAGACAGTTTGTTAAAAGAAAGAAAGGAAAGTGTACAATGGGGAGGTGTACACTGTGCTCTTAGGTGAGTAAAAAATAGGGGGTGCAGCTGGGTGTGGTGCACAGGCCTGTAGACCCAGATACCCAGGAAGGTGATGTGGGAGTATCACTGGAGCCCAGAAGTTCAAGGCAAGCCTAGCAACATAGTGAGACCCCCATCTCTAAAAAATAAAGGGGTGGAGCATTATGTGCCATCTTGTATGGGCATAGGATACCATTAGAGGGACACACAAGTAGCTGAGCACCGTGGCTTACATCTATAATTCTAGCACTCTGGGAGGCTGAAGTGGGTACCTGTAGTACCAGCCATTCAAGAGGCTGAGTCAGTAGGATCTTTTGAGCTCAGGAGTTTGAGGCTGCAGTGAGCTATGACTGTGCCACTGCACTCCAGTCTTGGTGACAGAATGAGACCCCATCTAAAAACAAAAAAAAAGGGGGGGAGAATAAAGAAGGACATGCAAATAATTGGCAGCAGCGTGTGCCTTGGGAATCAGGGTGAGGGGAAGATTTATTTTTTACTTTATATCCTTTTGTAGTATCAAAATGCTTGCTCTATTCTTGATATTTGTTCCAAAGGGCTTTGAAATAGGCATGCAGAATTGGTAATAGCACAGAAGTATTCTTATGCTAAGATGTTAAGTGGGAAAATTGGAATATTAAAATTACAGAAAGAAGCCTGGACAGAAGTAATCCCAAATAGGCAAAGGACTTGCTTTTGTGTTCTGGGGATATGGGAATTTCATACTCCTCTTTCTCTATTATTATTATTATTATTTTTTGAGACAGAGTATCACCATGTCACCCTCAGTAGAGTGCCATAGTGTCACAGCTCACAGCAACCTCCAACTCTTGGGCTTAAGTGATTCTCTTGCCTCAGTCTCCCTGGTAGCTGGGACTACAGGCACCTGCCACAATACCTGGCTATTTTCTGTTGCAGTTGTTGGTGTTTAAGCTGGCTCAGGCCGGGCTCAAACCCTCCCCCTACCCCTCACCCCCGTCCCCAGACCCCAAAGCCTAAACACCGTAGACAGTGCCCTGTCTTAGCCTCAGGCCACAATAAACCACAAAAACCTAGAGCTGGAAGATTTCTCAGACAACAGCTGTGGTGTCCACCACATGGCCAACATTACCAAAAAACAGTTAGGACTTAGGCCAGGTGCAGTGGCTCACGCCTGTAATCCTAGCATTCTGAGAGGCCAAGGCGGGTGGATTGCCTGAGCTCACAGGTTCAAGACCAGCCTGAGCAAGAGCAAGACCCCATCTCTAAAAATAGCTGGGTATTGTGGCAGGTGCCTGTAGTCCCAACTATTCAGGAGGCTGAGCCCAGGAGTTTGAGGTTGCTGTGAGCTAAGATGCTATAGCACTCTACCCAGAGAGACATGTGGGACTCTGTCTCAAAAAAAAAAAAATCCAGAAAGGACTTCAAGTCCAGATAAGCTGGAACCCTGGCCATGCCCCCTGATTTCCTGTGTGTGTCATACCTTTGTCCTGCAGGACTTCGCCTTCTGCCCCTCATGCTCTGCCTGGGTGCCTTGTTCTCAGCAGATCTCTCCTGCTGTGACTGTGCCTCTCCCTCCTTCCAGCCACCCCACCCCATTTCCTGCTCTGAACTTCACGCTCCCCAAGGTTACTGGTGACTCTTTCACTACCAAATTCTTATTTGATCTTTGTATGTATGTGCAAGACATCTTGAAACCCTCTGGAGATGAAAACATTTTCCTTCACCCTGGGTTTTCCTCCAGGATAAAATCTGAGCAGTCTGGCTGGGCACCTCTGGAAGGCTGGAGCAGTAGAGAGAGAAAGCATGAGTGTGCTTGCAGCTCAGCCAGGCAAGGCAGGGTGTGGGGTTGGGCTGGGGGTTATGTGGGTGGAAAGTTACTAGGAGGGAGCCAGAGCCAAAAGAGTATGACTAATGCAGCTGATAGGGTCCGGAGGTGACTGCCACATCAACTGTGCTGGACTCCGGGTCCGGGCCCAGGCCCAGGGTAGGCTGAGGGCTGGAGAAGCTGCAGAGATACTGCTTTCTCCAGCAGCAATTAGCTGGACTTGGGCCCAGAAGGAAGTAGACTGGATTCTGAAGGTCTGAGTGAGCTCAGAGAAGACGTCCCAAGGCTGAAAGCAGCCAGGGGCCTTGGACTGGGTCCACATGACTCACAGATGGAGCAGAGAGCAGAGAGTCTTCTGCTCAACTCAGCATTCAGCAAAGCCACCCCCACCCTGAGGGCAAGTCTCAAGCATGCACACACGTGTGCACAAGTGCATACATGCACATGCATGCTACACACAGACATACTCAGATACATGTGTGTGGTATGGGAGAGTGTGAATAAAATTGTGTGATTAGTGAGTGAGTCTAGTGAGAAAGTGAGTTCTGTGGCTATGGAACATTTACCTGAAATCTTCTCCATCTGGCCCACCATTACTGAGAATTCCACTGGCCAACACACTACCAAGAACCTGTCCAACGGCCAGGAAATGCCCAGCATTTGTCTGGGAAATGCTAAGACTGGTTAATGATAAACCCAACTCACTGTTAATTTATCTCTCAACTGAACATTCAGTCTCAAAGTTTTCTGCCACCATTAATATGTTTAAAAACTATCATTGTTATTTAGAGTGGCTTTGCTTTTAAGATGGGTCTCACTATGGCACTCAGGCTAGACTCCAACTCAAGGGATTCTCCTGCCTCCACCTCCCACGTAGCTGAGACTGTGGGCTTGTACTACCATGCCCAGCTTCAGAAACCTTTGTGTTTGGAGGAGAAACATGATGCCACTGGTTCCTGCTTATGAGGAAGACAACATCTGATCCTGGAAGACCAGCTTCCCAGCTCTGGCTCTGCCCTTACTCACTGGGCAATTGTGTCTGGCTCTGCTCTTCTCAGGAGCTTGCCTGGACTATCATAATACAAAGAGAGGCCAAAGACCACCACGCTCCCTCCTATGACTAACAGTCCAGGAATTCGTGGTTCTAAAGGGTGATTCAGGGAGAGAGAAATGTAGCAGATGTGCACACATTCTTCTAGAAGGGGAGGAAAAATGAAAGGAAACATAGCTAACACTGATGATGACAAGGAGCAGACACGGTGAAGCCAAGTGGCACGTTCAGTGCTGGAATCGGGGAGAAGTGCGATAGGAGTCTCGTGGACAGCATGCTTGCCCAGTGCCTATTTTCCAGCTTCTTTGGCTGAGAAGGCTTTAATTTCCTTTGGGAAGCAGCTTACATGCCATTGAGCTGACCTGCGCCCTGCACCTTGGACACAACAGCGTGCCCTCCCCTGTGTGCACTGCCCACACTGTCTCCTCTTCCTGCTTAGCTCCTTGCGTTTAAATCTTTAATGTCCTGAAGCTCTATGTCAAATGCCACCTTCTCAGAGAGTCTTCCTCACTGTCCCTTGTTGCAGACGTCTCTCCCAGGCACTCTCCTCTGTGCTTCTCCTATTGCACTTGAACGCAGCTGCCGGGGTGGCTGATGCAGTGTTGTGTGTTTGTTTAAGCACACGGATCTGCTGGAGCTTCTTTGTTGGGAGGACACAAGAAGTCACCTAGAAGCAGATCCTCACTGCTCTCCCCTGAAACCTTGGGTGGCTCCCCTACTTGGCTATATAAATATGGGGGAAAGCCCCTTATCACCCTAAGGGAATAGTCTTAGGGACCTCTGGAGACTGACAGAGGCTGCCCCTCACAATATTCTCCCTACACAGAACTGGTCTCAGAAAACATGATGGGCAAATTTGTTTAGGGCACAAGAAGGTCCCTGAGAAGATGCAAACCTGTCCCTTCCTTTCCTCTTAGGGCTGAAACTGTTAGAACCCCAAGGATGGACTGGACATTCCCCAGATCAATCCCATGTCCCTACCCAGCTCCTTGCCCTCAGCTTCCCAGCAATTCTAGTACTTGGGGGTTCATCTCCAAGGAAAAGAATACAGAAATATCTTACTTTTACAAATTTTACAAAATACAGCAAAAACATATCACCAAGTGAACACGTTTTGGGGCCCCTCCCAGGACACCGAGGTTTCAGCCTCACTATTGCCCAGAAATAGCCTCTGCCCTCAGGACTCCCCCTGCCCCACCTGGCTGACCCATCTGGCCCAGACTCATCACTAGCGGGGGTGGCTGGGCAATGGCGACTAAGGGCCTCTTGGACTGAGAGTCAAGCTGACCTGAAAGGCAAAGACATCCTTGACCAGAGCCTCCCCGAACACAAAGCTGGAGCCAGCCTCGGTATAACTTAGGAAGATCTGAAAGAAGAAAACACAACAAAACCAAGCCGCAGAGTGAAGCTCAGAAGGGAGGAGGGAAGAGACAGGGCTGGAGGGACAGGTGGCGTGGGGTATAGAGGCCCTGCCTGCCCCAAGTGTCTCCCCACAGCCCAGGGCCTGGCCAAGGTGAGAGAGGGACGCCAGGCTGGAGGCCCTCCTGGCTCAGGCAAGTTGGTCCAGGAGGTAGTCCCCCAGACCCTAACCAAGGTTTGGACCTGCACCTGGCTATGTGTGTTAAAGCCACAGTCATGAGCATACGCTTCACATGACCACATTCTCCAAAGAGTCACCTTCCCAGTCAGTTTTAAAGATATATTCTATCTTTTTATGGCTGAATAGTATTCCATGACATAACATGTACCATAGGGTTTTTGGTGTTGTTGTTGTATCATATATATTTATAGCTGTGTATTTTTTTCCCTGATTTTTATAATTTCAGGTTAATATGAGGGTACAGAACATTAGGTTATATAATTTACACTCGGCAGGTCCTATACCCAGGGAGTGTGTCATATATTCATGCATTGTACCCAATGGGTGGGAAGCTACTAGACCGCCTCTCCCTCTTTCCATTTCTTGAATTTAATTGAGATTTCTCTTGTGTGGGTCTATGATTGTTGATCTCCTAGTTTCAAATTGTTACTGAGTGAATGGGATGCTATTTTTCTAATCTTGCAATATTTTACTTAGGAGAATGTTCTCCAAGTCCATCCAGACTGTTACAAAAGATGCAAAATTTCCATCTTTTTTAGGAGATGAATAGTGCTTCATGCTACACATATATCACAGTTTGTTAATTCATTCATGGTTTGACAGGCACTTTGGTTGTTTCCACATCTTTGCAATTGTGAATTGAGCTGCTGTAAACATTTGAGTGCAAACGTCATTGTGAAAAATCATTTCTTTTCTTCAGGGTAGATACCTAGTAAAGGGACTGTGGGATCAAATGGAAGGTCTACTTTTATTTATTTTTTTAATAATAAGCATCCTTTTATTTCCATCACTACAAAAACCAATTACATTAGCAACAAAGTGTTTCCTTGAGTTGAAGTCTGAGCAAGTTACTTTTACCTTATTTTGCTCAGTAAAATTGTTCAGAAGATTAAAGTGATAAAGACAATGTAAAATTTAACATTTTAATACTGAAGTTGTACGCTGTTTCACTTAACATTTGGGAGAATGACTTGCTCTGACTTCAGCTCAAGGAAGGTCTACTTTCAGCTCTTTGAGGATTCTCCATACTTCTTTCCCAAACGGTTGTATGAATTTGCAAGCCCACCAGCAGTATCTAAGTGTTCCCCTTCTCTCTGCACCCAAGCCAGCACCTACAGCTTTGGGGCCTTGTGATGTGGGCTATTCTCACTGGGGACGTTTCAAGGTGATTTTGATTTGCATTTTTCTGACGATTAGAGATGATTAGCATTTTGTGTGTGTATGTTTCTTGGCCATTTGTCTATCCTCTTGGGAAAAGATTCTGTTCATATCTCTTGTCCAATGAGTAATTGGGCTGTTTGTTCTTTTCTTATTGATTGCTTGAGTTCTTTGTACATTCTGGTCACTAGTCCTTTGTCAGATTTGTAACATTTGAATATCTTCTCCCATTCTGAAGGTTGTCTATTTGCTTTGTTTATAGTATTCTTAGCTGTGCAGAAGCTTTTTAGCTTGATCATGCCCTATTAATTTATTGTCGCTGTTGTTGCAATTGCCCATGGATCATCTTCATAAATTCTTTCCCCAGGCTGATATCATTAAGAGTTTTTCCCACACTTTCTAAGATGAAGACTTTATATCTTTTATATTTACCTGGATGGATCTGGAGAAGATTCTCCTTAGTAACATTCTCCCTTTCCATCTCGAGAATAGAAAAGCAAGTATCCCATGTACTCATACTAAGTTCAAAGTAGTAGATTAACAATTATGGGCCCACATGAGAGAAAAACACAATTAAATTCAAGAAGTAGGGGGAAAGGAAGAGGGGTTCTCATAGGCTCCCTCCTCATGGGCATAATGTAGGGATATATAGCAGATCTCCTGGGTGAAGGGCTCTACCACAACTTTGGACTTTACCTTACAAACTGAAACAATGTAACCTAATTGCATGTACACTCATATTAATCCAAAATTTAAAAAAAATAGTAAGTGGTAAAAAATAAATACTCTGAGACGACAGTTGTTAGGATAATGTAGAAGACACAGTAGAAGAGGCAAGACCCAGGGCTGTGTGGAGGAGGCTGTCTGAGGCAGTGCTCTCTGAGTCCTGACAGCCGACCTCTGGTAAGGCCTCCTCTTATCTTGGCCTCATTCTGGGCTCACAGACCAGGCATTTGTGTCCAGATATGCTTCTATAGGAAATCTGTGTTTAGATCTTGAACGTTGCATTGTGATTGCAAGGACAAGTCACTTCTCTTGCCCAGGCCTCAGTGTTCTAATCTATAAAATGGGGAGGTGACCAGACCAGCAGCTCCCAGTCTGTCCCTCCACAATCCCCATGCAGATACTGGCCGTGTGGCCAGTAGGTGTGCACAGAGGGGCAGGCAGGATTCCTCCGTGCCACCCCACACAGAGCATGTTGGGGCACGAGCTGGTGAGAGGGAGGCAAGTAGAGGATTAACCTTGGGCCCTAGATAATTTATATTTTCAAAAGTGTTAAATAAAATTTATAGGTGGCTGTTGGTTTAACTGAGCTACTGCCCAGCAGATGAAACCAAAATGGAGCCATTACGCTGAAGCTCTGCACCACTGCCCCAACACTATGCTGTTTGACCTTCCACACCATCAGGTGAGAGAGACAGCAGGACGAGGAAGGCCCCTCTGCTTTAACCTTTACAGGGAAAGTAACTTTGAAATGACCAATTCACTTTTTGTTTTCTGCTCAAGTTGTCTTGTCTACAAAATAGAATGATGTGCTGTCCAATTTTACAATTGCCAATACAAGCCAACTGAGCTCTCTAAACTAAATCTGTTGTAATCTTCTCTTTTGACAAAAAAGTAAATCATGAATTTGCATGAATTTAATGATACTTAAATATAGTTTAACTGGTAAACTTTAATATGTAAATTTTACAATAAAATACTATAAAAAAGCATAACTTCAATAAACATTCTTTAAACTCTACACACTCAGAGTAAATCATTTGCAATTTTTTTTAGCACTTTAAATGATTTTAAGTTCCAAATCACCATGCCTGGGGCAGGCCACACCCTGCTGGCACCCTGAGAACTTCCTCTATGGGATTTTCTTCCACAGAAGACTCAGCCTTGAAAAGGGCCACTCTATCAGATGGGGCAGAATCTGGCCTAGGTTGCCCTTCACACCCACCCTCTTAGTGCTAAGGCTTCTCTGTGGCCTGTTTGCCCACCTTCCCACCAACCAAGTGGCTTCTCCCACACCTCCCTGCAGTCCAGGATGTGGTGGACAGCCGGCCCCAATACGCACCTGGATCTGGTCACCCAGCCACTGGAAGGCAATAAATCCTGGTTCTGTTCTGATGATAAAGAGTCCAAGTGCAAACTGCAGTGCAAGGCCCCAGGACACAGCCCGCCAGGACACCTGCCACCCCACCCAGTAGAAAGGTCCTATGAGCTCAGCTCCTGGGGGATCAGCAGAGCCCAGGGTTGGGGTAAGGGCAGAGGGCACAGGCTGCTGAGGAGCAGTGGGAGCTTTGCTTGCCTGTAGGACTGGGGCTGGGCCCAGCCAGAACCCTGGGCCTGTTGCCAATGGCTGCACCCTCCTCAGGATTCAGAATAGGCCATGCCTTAGCAGCAATGGGTAGGGGCATGGGCAAAGGTGGGCAAGACTCAACTGAGAGCCTCTGTGAAACCAGAGCAGCTGTGGGCATGGCACTGCATCCCTGAGCCATCATTGTGGAGGAGGGAGCCAGAGTTGGGTCTAGGGGTCTGGCTGCCTGAGAAAACAGATCTGAGGACCGGGCTGGACTGACCTCTGGCATGAGGCCAAGGAAACAAATGCCTCTGAGTCTGCACTTGATCTTAGCCAATGTGGGCATGATGGCCTCTGAGTCTGGTCAGACCTTTAGCAAGCTCTCTTCAGGGAGTATCCCCTGCCCTGCTGGAAAAGGTGGCAGCCCCTCGGGGCCTCTAGTTCCAGGATTGCCTTCCCTAGCCTCTCAGGGACTCTGTCTTGATACCCACTGGTCTTCTCCAGGCTCAGAGCCTGTGGGGCTCTTCCAAAGGAGTCTCTACTCTCATCCCAACACCCAGATCCAGCCTGGGGCCAGAAGAGAGAGGCATCCACTCCCTTCCAACTCTGGGCCTGATGATGAGCACTCACTGCGTGGTGATGCTTCGAGCAGGCAAAGAGGAGGGTGAGGAACACACAAATTCCTGCAAAGGACACCAACTGTTCAGGCCTCTGAGCTGTGTCCAGGGACAGCCACAGGACCAGGACCAGGACAGCAACGAGAGTGAGGCCCCTGCAGCGGAGAGATGAAGAGTCATCGCCCTGGGCATCTCCCGCCTGCACACTAGCAGCCAGAGCCCCAGAGGGAGTGCTCAGGGAGCGAGTAGGACAGAGAAGGCTGCACAGCACAGGAGCATGAGCTCTGGGTCTGGACACTGGAAATACCTGTTGAGCTTCCTGGCCTCTGGCAGGCCAACTATCCTTTCTTGAGGTTGCTGAGAGGATTAAGTTAGAGGATGTGGGTGCAGAGCACATGGGCTCTGCCCATCTCTCAGCTCCATAGGCTGTGCTCCAAACACATAAAAGCAGTAGTGTCAGCCTGGAAAGCTGAGCGAGCACCTCAGGCCAAGGCCTGGGTCCAACCTCAACAGTTACTCTTCCCTTCCTGGGTTTGGGGTTTGCTTGTCCAGGGCACAGCCTAAGGAGCAGGGAGAGCCCAGGTCTGGGTATCAGGTGCTCAAGGTCTAGCCCCAACTTGTTTTTCAACTCACTGGGCACTACTGATGACAGCTCTCCTTTTAGAGGTGAGAAAGGTTAAGTAACTGGCCCAAGGCCACCCATGTAGAAAATGACAGAGCTGAGATCATGATCCAGACACTCTGGCAGCAGGGTCTAGTCTCTTACATACAGTCTTATCCAGCTGGTAAAAGGCAGACCCCAGCTCTGGACTCAGGCAGGCTGAGCCAGGCTCTGCTCTTTCTATTTTTGCCTGTGCTTACAGACACCTGCTATCCCACTCCACATGCACAACGTTAAGCCTTGGATTTGTGCCACCTGCACGTTTCTTTACTATTTTTATGGACATTAACTCACTTTATACAAAGTTAAATGCATCCTTTGGGGGGTTTTGTTTTCATTTTTAACAGCTCTATTAGAGATATGGATATGGTTAACATGTAACCATACACAATTTTGAAGTGATTCAATATGATGTGTTTTGACATATGTATACCACTTGAATCTATCACTACTGTGAAAGTAATGAGCATAGCCATCACCCCCACAAAGTTTCCTTGTTCTCCTTTGTGATTCCTCGCCTCCCTCCCTGTTCCCAGGTGGCAACTGATATGTTTTCTGTCACTAGGTTGATCTGCCTTTTTAAGGATTTCATATAAACAGAATCACACAGTATTCTTTTTGTGTGTGACTTCTTTCAACCGGCATAATTATTTTGAGATTCATCTAGGTTTTTGCATGATCCAAAAGTTCTTTTTTCTTGCTGACTAGGATTCTGTGTTATGGATATTTCAAAATTCGCTTTTCCATTCCCCTGTTGATGGACACTTAGGTGGTTTCCAGTTTTAGGCTATTACATATAAAGTTGCTAGATACACACTTTCATTCTCTTGGGTAAACAGCTGTAAGTGGAATCAGTAGATTATATGGTAGGTCTAAGTTTTTAAGAAAATGCCAACTTGTTCTGCAAAGTGATTGTACAATTTTTACATTCCTGGCAGTTTGAGTTCTTTCACGTCCTTGCCAACATGGGAGATGGTCACTCGTTGGAACTCTAGCCATTCCAATAGGCTTAGAGTAGTATCTCTTTCTAGTTTTCATTTGCATATCCCTGATGACAATGACATTGAGCATCTTAGCATCTGCTCATTTGCCACTTATGTATCTCCTTTATTTATATGTCTCTTCAAATCTTGAGTCCATTCTTCAATTGGGTTGTTTTCCTTATTAATGAGTTTTGAAAGTTCATTACATGTGCTGGTTTCAAGTGCTTTGCCAGATTTGTGATTTGAAAAACTTACCCCTACTCGTGGCTTGTTTACTATTCTCTTAACATTGTCTTTTGAAGGGCAAACGGTCTTAATTATAAAGATGTCCAATTTATCAATTTTTTTATGGATTGTGATTTTGGTTTTGTATCTAAGATATCTTGACTTAAGGTCACAAAGATTTTCTTCTGTGTTTTTTAAAAGAAATTATATATTTTTAGGCTTTATACTTATGTGTATGATCCATTTCTGGTTAATTTAGTTTTAAGAACTATCTTTTTTGACTTGGCACCAGTGGCTCAAGTGGCTAAGGCGTCAGCCACATACACCTAAGCTGGTGGGTTCAAATCCAGCCCGGGCCTGCCAAACAGCAATGATGGCTAGAACCAAAAAAAAAAGCCAGACGTTATGGGAAGTGCCTGTAGTCCCAGCTACTTGGGAGGCCAAGGCAGGAGAATCACTTGAGCCCAGGATTTTGGGATTGCTGTGAGCTGTGATGCCACTGCAGTCTACCCAGGATGACAGCTTGAGGCTCTGTCTCAAAAAAAAAAAAAAAAAAGAACTATCTTTTTTTGTTTGTTTCAACCATCAGTGGCATTTTTATTTTTGAAGCATCTATGTATTACATAGATATTAACTTCCTTCCTTTTATCCCTACTTCTCTCTCCAAAATCCAAAAATATTAAAGGAAAAAAGTATGAAAATTTCTTATCTGATTTCTCTAAGGTCTAAGGCTAAAAACTTACATGGTGCTTCTCCTTTGAGGGTTCTGCTTTGTATGGAGAGTTCACAGTCTATCCTTGCTCACACTATGTATTTCTACTCCTCCCTGGGAAAAAGATGGCCAATACTTCTGCTTTACTTTAGTAAATTCATTTCTCAATCATTACACATTATCATTCCCTGCTTGACACCTTCTTGGAGACTGTTGGATGGGTTTTTCATTTGGCAAAAATTCGATGTGGCTTTGCGTGGGATGTCTAAGTGTCAAAAACAGCAGTGTTGATGTTCTGGCTTTGTGGGGGAAAATATATAGAGAGATGCATACATTCCCTATAAGATCAAAAGTAGGAGACTGAAATAGGATGTACACAAGGTTAAAAGGGCTGATAGGCGCTATCTGGTTTTGAATTCCGTGGCTGTCAGCCACCAAAGACTGCAGTGTAAGCCAGAATATAAATCCCCTTAGGAAGAAGTTTGGTTAGGCACTATGAAATGAGAGTCTGCTTTATTTTGTTCCAGGTATATCAGGGCAGACACAGGAGGTGCATTATGCATCATTTGCAGTCAACAGTAACCTGCAGATAAACACGTATGGGCATTTCTGTAAATGTCCTGTCAACATAAGTGCTGGGAAAAGAGAAAAGAAGTATTCTACTAAAATATACTTTTATCTCTAATTCGCTCACGACCCCAGACTTCCTCAGCTTTGTTTTGCAAGGCCAGAATGAAATTCAATGTTATATGTCATTACAGGTCATCTGGAAGCTGGTCTTCTGGGGCCATTGCAGAAGGCCTAGATGTGCAGCAAGAGGGCAGCAAGCCTAGCGTGTGCCTTAATGATCTTCACATTATCCACAGGACTGACCTGGGAGTTTGTTTCCAATATTCCCATTCGATTCACCATTCCTATACCCTGGCACACTCAGCCAAAAAGCCACTGGGTGGGGGCTAGCATCACGAAGAACTGGCTGCCATTGGTGTCTGCCCTGCATTGGCCGTTGCAAGAATTCTAGCCCCTGTGAATTTCAAGTCTGGATGAAGTTCATCTTCAAACTGTTTGCTATAGGTAGATGCACCGGCTCAACCTGTCCCTGTTGGGTCACCTCCTTGGATTATGAAGTCTTTGATGATTCTGCAGAATTTGGTGTCATTGTAGTAACCTCAAGGAGCCAACTCAAGGAAGTTGTTACATGTCTTTGGAGCATGCTTCCACTATAGCTCCAGCACAATGATTTCCATGCTGGTCTCCAAGTAAATGTTGGGAGGCTGCCAGGAGTCTGGAGGGATGTGCCATAATGCAACGATTGGACCTTTTCTGTAGCAATTGCTACTTCCGGCGTCAATTTGCTGGGGATCCGCAGGTGCTCCACACCCTTCGGGCACCTATCATTTAACCTTTTGAAGGGCTGGGACAAGGAAGAGGAAAGTCCCCTCTGCCAAGGTTAGAATCTGGGGTACAAGGTATGGAAATGCTGGGCATAGAAAAGTGGCAGGCTCCATATGAGGCGGTCTCCAAAACAGCGAGATGGCGCCACTCTCAGAAAGGTCTGATTGGTTCTGATTGGTTCCAAGACTATCTTTTTTTAAGAGCAGTTTTAGGTTCACAGGAAAATTGAGAGGAAGGAGCAGAGATTTCCTGTATGCCCTCTGCCCAGACATGTGCACAGCTTCCCCAATATCAATATTCCCACCAGAGTGGTACATTTGTTGCAATTGACAACCTACATCGGCACGATATAATCACCTAGAATCCATAGTTTAAGATTTGCTCTTGATGTTGCATATTCTTGGGTTTAGGTAAACATACAATGACGTGGCCACCATTACAGCACCATACAGAGCATTTTCATTGCCCTAAAAGTCCTCTGGGCTCTGCCGATCCCTCCCTCACCTCCCTCCTCAACCCTTGGAAACCGGTGATCTTTTTACTTTCTCCATAGTTGTGCCTTTTCCAGAATGTCACATAGCTGCAATCACACAGTATATAGCCTTTTCAGACTGGCTACTTTCACTTAACAATATGCACTTAAGTTTCATTTATGTCTTGGTTTAGCTTGATAGTTCACTTCTTTTTAACACTGAATAATATTCCATTGTCTGGATGTACCACATTTTATTCATCCATTTACTATGGAAGGTCATCTTGATTGCTTCCAGGTTTTGGGAATTATGAATAAAGATACTATAAATATCTTCATTATTTATAGTTAGGCAGCAGATAAATATAGTTATCCTTATTATTTACAGTTGGTTCTTGCTTTTGTATCCAATCTTACTTTTAACAGGGGGTTTAGGCCATTTACATTCAGTGTCATTATTGGTATGGGTGGATTTAAATCTACCATCTTGCATTTATTTCCTGTTTGTTCTATTTTTTTTGTTTCTCTTTTCCTATATTGCTACCATCTTGCAGATTGACTCTTTCTTAAAGATTCTCCTTTTTTGAATTGTTAGCTATAATGATTTGTTGTATTATTTTAGTAGTTACTTTAGCATTTATAGTATATATCTTTAACTTATTATGATCTACCTGCAAGTGATGTTATACTGTTTCGTGTGTAGGATA